AAAACTCAACTAACCTAGCAGCTACAAATAACTAACCTAGCAACAACAAACAACTAACCTAGCAACAAAACACAACTAACCTAGCAAGAAAGAAATAACATAACAAAAGACAAATGGTCAACGGTCAACGTCGGAAGTCAACGCCGGAGTCAACGGTCAACACCGGAAGTCAACGGTCAACGCCGGAAGTCAACGATTTTTCGCCGGAAGTCAACGGTCAACGCCGGAGTCAACGGTCAATGGTCATAATAATATTTAAATAATTAAAAATAAAGAATTAAATAATAAAAATAAAGAATTAGTATTTAAATCAAGATCTAAATCTTGTGGCTAGGAATGAGTCTCACGTCCTCACTTTAAATAATGGGATGCATTGGAACCAATCCCTATATATATATACCATTTTGTATTATCACCCAAATCTTGATTCCAAGAAATTGACAGCGACTCATGAGATAAATATGTTTATAATTGCATTACACATGTTAAAGCCACATAAATATTTAAGAGCAGTAGTGGGGCAATATGCAGAATTGCAGATTCCCTTTAACCCAATTTTATAAAGACCCATCTTCCTCATTCTCTCAACAAGTGAACTAACCTCACTCAACTCAACTCTCTCTCTCTCTCTCTCCCTCAAATCTCTTTTGCTCTCTCTTTCTCTCTCACACACTCACAGACTCAGTGAACCCATTAATGAGCTCACTCCACAGTCAAAATTGATTCTTTGATAATCACACTCTGTGAGCCTCCTCATCTGTAGATCTCTCTGTGATTTTTATTTCTTTCTTTTTCTTTCTTAAGATTCTCACAGCCTTTGCTGAAAATGGAAATACCCACCGGAAAGCAGAAGCCCACGCGCCGCCCATTCACAGCGAGCATTTAAAACCTTGTTCTTTGTCTTGATTTCTACATAAAGACTCCATTTTTCTTTTTTCTATTTGGACAATGACGGAGGCGGCTGACGGGAAAGCGATGCCGGCGGAGGCCGAGAAGAAGAAGGAGCAGAGCCTCCCCTTTTATCAGCTGTTTTCTTTTGCTGATAAGTACGACTATATCCTGATGATTAGTGGCAGCTTGGGGGCCGTCATTCACGGGTCCTCCATGCCCGTTTTCTTCCTGCTTTTCGGCGAGATGGTCAATGGCTTCGGGAAAAACCAGATGGATTTGCACAAGATGACCCATGAAGTTGCCAAGGTTCCTAATTTCTTAATTCATTGTGTGCATTTTGTCCTGAAAGTTTAAAAAAAAAAAAATTAGCTGCCTTGATCAGATCTGACGGTTCTTGTTTTCCCTTGTTTTTTCCCCTTTTTGCCGATCGGTGGTGCAGTATGCTCTCTATTTCGTATACCTTGGATTGGTTGTGTGCTTTTCGTCCTATGCAGGTGAGTGCAATTTTGTTGTATTAACATGTGATTAGATATAAACGTATTGTCATTAATATGTTTGTTAATGCTGTGTTGATCCAGTTCACTACGGATCAGTCGCACGTGGTCCGTAGACTGTTCTTTGTCTTGATCCTCTTCACCGGTCAATTTTCTTCAATAATATTTTTCTCTGTTTTACATAAAACCCCATTTACATCTCCATCAAAATGATGGGTCTTTAGAATTTCACGTTTCTTTCTCTCCATCCTTTTTTTGTTTTTCTACTTTTTGGTCAAATTCATTTTCATTTATTTTCCTTTTGTTCACATACCCGTGCTAAAACAGAGATTTGTGTAATATTCTCTGTTTGACATCATTCCCAATTTCTTTCACTTCATCCTTTCGTTTTTTCTCCTTTTTGGCCAAATTTATTTTCATTTCTTTTACATCCAATTATTTCCATCATTCTTGGTTGAAAAATTGACCCATTTTGTCCATACATTTGTTCAAAAACAGAGATTGCATGTTGGATGTACAGTGGGGAAAGGCAAGTGGGTGCACTGAGGAAAAAATATTTAGAGTCTGTTTTGAAACAGGATGTAGGCTTTTTTGATACAGATGCAAGAACTGGGGATATTGTGTTTAGTGTCTCTACAGATACCCTGCTTGTTCAAGATGCCATTAGTGAGAAGGTTATATATTTTATTTTATTTTATATTATTTTTTAAATTTTCTTGTGAGGCTGCACTCTCATTTTGCTTCATTTACTGAGCATTGATTACCTGCTTGTGATCATTTAACACATTTACTGTGTTTTCTAACGGTAAGTAAAGCCTTTGCATTAAACACAGGCTAATTAATGCCGTGACAAATTTATGCTTGTTTCTTTTGAGGGCTTGAATATTTTATTTTATTTTATTTTTTTACGTGAGCTGCTTTTTGTCTTGCTTTGTGCATTTGATGATATTTTTTGTGCTTATATAGGTTGGTAACTTCATTCATTATCTTTCGACTTTTCTGGCTGGCTTGGTGGTCGGTTTTGTGTCGGCATGGAGGCTAGCTCTACTCAGTGTGGCCGTTATTCCTGGAATAGCTTTTGCCGGTGGATTATATGCTTATACGTTAACTGGGCTCACCTCTAAGAGCCGTGAATCGTATGCGAGTGCTGGTATAATTGCCGAGCAGGTGAGCTTTTCGGGGAAAAAGAAAAAAAAAAAGATCGATTTTTTATTATGATTTAATGAAGCTTTTCTTACTGTGAATGATTTTTCTGCTTAAGAGATCTTAACTTAGAAGGAAAGCTCAACTATAGCCTAACCGAGCCCTTATTATATAATGCCACTAATATTATTCTTTAGTAGAGTTTAGACACTTGAAATTTTGTTCTAGCTATGGACTGTCTATTGAAAATTTTGTTTACAGCGATCGATTAGTTCCACAACTTAAAAATTTCACCGTTAATAATTTCATAAATCACCCTTCTAGTAAAGCTAATAATACTTGGTTCTATTAAATAATGCAGTCGATTGCCCAAGTTAGGACAGTTTACTCGTACGTTGGTGAGAGCAAAGCCCTGAGTGCTTATTCAGATTTAATTCAAAACACACTAAAGCTGGGGTACAAAGCTGGAATGGCTAAAGGACTCGGTTTAGGATGTACTTACGGTATAGCATGCATGTCGTGGGCACTCGTTTTCTGGTATGCTGGCGTTTTCATTCGAAACGGGCAGACAGATGGCGGCAAGGCATTCACCGCTATTTTCTCTGCCATTGTTGGTGGCCTGTAAGACTAAACATTTTTTTTTTTTTTGGGTTTTTCTCCAATTTTCAAGAATATAAATAAAAAGGCGAAATTTGACGGGATTTTTTAAATTTCAGGAGCTTGGGTCAGTCTTTCTCCAATCTTGGAGCTTTCAGCAAAGGAAAAGCTGCTGGATACAAATTAATGGAAATAATCAAGCAAAAACCGACTATCGTTCAAGACGAAAAGGAAAACAAGTGCTTGTCTAACGTCAATGGGAACATCGAGTTCAAAAACGTAACTTTTAGCTACCCTTCAAGACCCGACGTCTTCATCTTCCGAGACTTTTCCATTTTCTTCCCGGCGGGAAAAACGGTAGCTGTCGTGGGCGGTAGTGGTTCGGGAAAAAGTACCGTTGTCTCATTAATTGAAAGATTTTACGATCCTAATCAGGGTAACTTAATTTAATTTAAGTTCCCTTATAAAGTAAAAATAAAAAATGAAAAAAAAAAATAATCATGCCACTTCAAATTTTTATCCTAAAAATATGATCTAATTTGACATGCGCAGGAGAAATTTTGCTCGACGATGTTGATATAAAAACCCTGCAGCTGAGATGGTTGAGGAATCAAATTGGCCTAGTGAATCAAGAACCCGCGCTCTTTGCCACAACAATACTCGAGAACATTCTTTACGGGAAGCCCGATGCTACTATGGCCGAGGTGGAAGCTTCTGCATCGGCTGCTAATGCTCATAGCTTCATCTCCTTGCTTCCAAATGGATACAACACTCAGGTGCCCTTGTTGTGATTCCCTTATATCCCTTTAAACCGAAACTGATGATAAATGAATGGCTTTAAATCCTTTCCCAAATTAAAGTTTACTTTAGGGATAGTTACGCTATGTTTGGTAACCAAATAAGCTAGAAGCTCGAGCGCTTCTTTGGGTAGCTTTTCAAATAAGCTCGTTAGATAATTTTACTAAACACTTTTATCATATAAGCTAGCTTTTCAGCAATAAGTCATAAGCTATAAGCTCGAAAATCACTTATAAGCTATAAGCTAACTTAATATCAACTAGTTTTACCAAACATAGCTTTATTAAATGCTAGCAATTCAAATTTCTTTTTGGCAAAATCCAGGTGGGAGAACGTGGGGTCCAGCTGTCGGGTGGGCAGAAGCAGAGGATCGCAATCGCACGTGCCATGCTCAAGGACCCGAAAATCCTACTCCTCGACGAGGCCACGAGCGCTCTCGATGCAGGCTCGGAGAGCATCGTTCAAGAAGCCCTCGACCGACTCATGGTGGGCCGGACCTCAATCGTCGTGGCCCACCGCCTTTCGACAATCCGTAACGTCGACTCCATAGCCGTCATCCAACAAGGCCAGGTCATCGAAACCGGGACCCACGAAGAACTCATATCCAAAGCCGGCGCTTATGCTTCTCTCATCCGATTTCAAGAAATGGTCGGTAATCGAGAGTTCTCGACGAACCCCTCCACTCGACGGACACGATCCTCGAGATTAAGCCACTCGCTCTCGACAAAATCCCTCAGCCTTCGTTCGGGGAGTTTAAGGAATCTGAGCTATTCTTACAGCACGGGAGCAGACGGGCGAATCGAGATGGTCTCGAATGCCGAGACAGAACGGAGAAAAAACCCGGCCCCAGCTGGTTATTTCTGCCGTTTGCTGAAAATGAATGCGCCCGAGTGGCCATACTCGATTATGGGGGCTGTGGGGTCAATTCTTTCGGGCTTTATAGGGCCCACTTTTGCAATAGTGATGAGTAACATGATTGAGGTGTTCTATTATAGGAACCCGGCTGCTATGGAGAGGAAAACGAAGGAGTACGTTTTTATCTATATTGGAGCGGGACTTTACGCGGTGGTCGCGTATCTCATTCAGCACTACTTCTTTAGCATCATGGGAGAAAATCTCACTACCCGAGTTCGGAGGATGATGCTAGCAGGTAATAAATGTGGGAAATGAATATCGTAAAGATGTAATTTTTTTTTATTGATTAATATCGTAAAGGAGTAAT